ATCAAATAATAAAAAAATAAATAATAAACATAATCCAAAGTTACTTCCTTTTTAATATTTCTATGAATATGTATACAGAGTTTCATGATTATCGGTAGTTTTCGCGTGAAAGCGCAACAAACAAACTTACATTCACATGTATAATATTAAGCAGCGAATTAGAGATTATGTTACCAACATCACGGTGTTTCTATTAAACATAATCACAATTAACTTTCAATACTATTTTTTTTTATTCAAGCGTAGTTTGGCCAACTAAAACTAATCCAGTTACCCGCAACATAATCAACAAAGAAATCCAGTTTTCATTCAACGCTATGTTGGCTTAATAGTTATTACAGCTTTTTTTCAAGATTTTTTTAATAATCTTTCGAAGGCTATAGAAAATGTACACAGATGATCCCTATAATATCTTTTATAGACCATGATTGCATTTTACTTTTATATTATTATAGGAATAGTAATAAACAAACAAATATAAAGTATGAGAAAGCAATCAACAATTTTAGAAAATCTTCCTATTAATTATTTTTAAATTATCAGGAAACGGATTAGAATTGATTAAAAATACATCTTAAGGTCAAATAAATTAAAATAAATAAATTAATAAAGGCAAATGACATTTCCTACAACAAAACAATAAATAACCGAATAGTTATTCATTTTGATTTTAAGTAATAGCTCATAAAAATTTTAAGCAATATCATGATTTCCATGGCAGAAATTACGAATATGACATTTTATTACATATTTTCTTAAACTATATATCTTTAATTTATCCTTTAAATGTTAAAGTCTTACTATGTTATACAAATAACTCAATGAAATGATATTTGAAAAATTAGCACAGACATCGTGTAGCATTGTATTGGTCCGAGCGTCATGGTAGGTGAACAATTACGGTGGTCCCAAGTTGAAACCTTATTGAGTGGTATATGTTTTTCCAATTTTAATTTGTTAATCAATTAATAATTTTGTTTTTATTTCATAAAATGTGATAAATAAACAAATTAATGAAAAAATTATAAAACAATCACTTTTCGATTATTTAATTTTATTAGATCTTTCGAAAACAAGAAACTAAAAAAATGTATATTCACATATTTCATATTTTTAATTATTTTTATATAACAACTAGAGCGTAATTTCAATATCTTATCTTGTGAATTGATAAGGTTTATCAGTCCTATACATACAGTGGACCATCATTCTATAGGGATCGGGTTCAAATCCCTACTTTTCTTTGTTATATTTTATGGTGATTTTCTTTTTTGTAAATATTTTTTTATTTACTATTTAATTTTTGTTGATTTTTTATTTTTATAAATAATTACAACGAAATATTATAGTATTTTTTGAACGGAGAACGCAACAGTTGGATATGGTTTATTGAACAGATAATAGACCAACTTTCCATTATTTCAAATTTTTAACAAGTCTTATTAATATTATTGTATATTTTTTTAATTTTTTTTATTAAAATATTTAATTTTTCAACCTAAAACGGAAATTAATCTTTTACTAACACGAAAAGTAATTGTTTTATAATTTTTTTTGTTTATTTTTCACATTTTATGAATAAAAACAAAATAATTAATTGATTACCAAATTAAAATTTGAAAAAGATGTACCATTCGATAAGGTTCGATACCATTACGGTCCTACCAATAGGTTACACGATATCTGTGGAAGGCGACAAAATTTCGATTGTACTTATTTGTTTTCGTTTATCGATATAAGGAATTTTATCTATAATTTTTGAAATATAATTTCATTAAGGAATTCATATAACGTAGTAAGACTTTAACATTTAAAGTATAAATTGAAGTTATATAGTTTAAGAAAATATGTAATAAAAATTATATTCGTAATTTTTGCCGTGGAGACCATGAAATTGCTTAAAATTTTTATGAGCTATTTCTTTAAATCACAATAATTAACTATTCGTTTATTTATTGTTTTATTGTAGGAATTGTCCTTTGCCCTTATTAATTTATTTGACCTTAAAATGTATTTTTAATCAATTCTAATCCCTTTACTCATATTTTAAAATAATTAGGTAATATGAAGATTTTCTAAAATTGTTGATTGCTTTCTCATACGTTATATTTGTTTTTTTATTATTATTCCTATAATAAAAGTAAAATACAATCATGGTCTATAAAAGATATTATAGGTGTATATATCATCTGTGTACATTTTCGAAAGCCTTCCATGATACTTTGATAGTATTCTACGGCACACCACTAAAAGGCAATAATTAATGGGTTAGGTCACGCGGCTCTTGGTCACGCGGCGCGTCGACGAAACTCGCGCGCTGCGCCCCGCTAAGTTGGATTACCCCTCCTCCGCTCCCCTCCTTCACCACCCAAACAGTATAAAATTCATTGCATAGTATGAAGTTCAAGCCAGATGATGTACGTGACTTGCTGAGACGCAAGAATGCGGCCACTCGTGCCTATGATAGATATCCCGACGACTCGAATCGTAGACTGCTACGTAAATTGCAGCGTGAAGTCAAAACACGTATAGCGGACTCACGAAACGAACGGTGGGACTCCACCTTAACGTCAGTAAAACCATCCTACGTACCATTCGAGCCGGGGTGCCTCAAGGGTCGGTGTTGGGCCCAGTCCTGTTCACGCTGTACACCAATGACATACCGCGTGTCAAAGATATAGAACTTGCTCTTTTTGCCGACGACACCTGTCTCTATACCACAGGCAGAACACCCGAATTGATCCATCGACGCCTTCAAGCTTCGGCCATCACCATCTGTGACTGGTTTCGGCAATAGAGGATCGAGATTAATCCCGCCAAAAGCGCGGCCGTCCTTTTCGCACATAAAAAGAATGTACCCAATCCACCCCCCGTTAAACTCAAGGACAGCCCAGTACCATGGGTTAATAAAGTCAAATATCTAGGCGTCGTCCTCGACTCCTAGCTTAAATTCACCCAGCACGTGACCCAGGTCAGGAACCGGGCGGCCTTCGTACTCGGTCGCCTCTACCCGCTCCTCAATAAAACGTCAAAAATGTCCTTTCGGAACAAGGTGGCCTTATACAAGGCAGTAGTTCGCCTTATCATGACGTACGCGAGCCCCGTCTTCGCTCACATTGCTCCGAAGCAAATACACCGTCTTCAGGTTATTCAGAATCGATTCTTGCGCAGATCTACGGGAGCACCCTGGTTCATGCGCAATATCGACCTACATGTCGATCTAGAGTTGCCCACCATCGCCCAATTCCTGAAGTCGGCATCGCGCCGATATTTCGATTCCGCCGACGCGCATCCCAACCCACTAATCGTAGTGCCGTCACCTACAGGCCGTTGCCGCTAGATACTTTCCGCCGCGATTACCGAAGACCGCGACACGTTCTCGACTTCCCTGACGATGAGACGACTATCGCCATCGAAAGGATTAAAAAACTAAAACACACCAAGACACACCGCACTCGCCGGCGAGTGCGGCAAACATATACTAGGTTCCGCCACGTACCTGGCAGGTTTTCCCATTAATGATAGAAGCGTTGCTGGAGTTTATTCCGCCATTTCTTCTCCCAGCGCCAACGCTTTCCGAAGTGGTAGTAATGTTAGATCTAGAAACTCCCCCAGTCAGTTAATAGCTACCGATCGAGCCGAGGTCCGGCCTTCTCGGGCACCCTCGAATCGGAATGCTAAACGCGTGTTGACTGACAGCCCAAGCCGAGGTCCCCTCTCGGGGACCCTTGAGCTTGATTACTCCATGGAGCTCCCGCTAAAGCGCCTAAGAGCTTGGCGGTGATAATAATAGCGTGACGAGGCTCCCCCGGGAGCCCTCGAGCTTAGTCACCATAACGCGTAATAATAATACGCCGAGGTTCAGGCTAGGCGCCCCGTGCGCCAGGCCACCTCAAGCCCGTCGGAACTGTAAAGGCCCCTAAGGCTAACAGTGGCTCATCCAGCCCAAAAAAAAAAATGAAGTGCATACAGCGCCTTAAACGGGTACGATGCGCACTGATGAACGCAACCTCTACCGCCAGCCAGATAGCCCGTAAGACGTCCGGGAGAGTGAGAGAGATAGCATATCTCAAAACTGGTCTATCTGAAATTTCTAGCTCTTGCAATATTAACGGTGTATACTTTCTATACTTCCCAAAACTCTTGTTATTTATGGTGTAGTTAAGTATTTTGTAATTCAGTTTATAAAATGTCTTAAATGTTTGCTGTTGTGTTTTGCTAGTACAGAAACGAAATAAAAAAAAAACAATTTTGAATAATTTTCTATGCCATTCCAACCAGTAATAAATTCAATTGTGTTAATTAGGTTATATCTCCTGAATTTTTAAAAAATTACCTCGTAACTGTATACTCTGTATAATTTGAGCCATCGGGTTTGAATTTTCACGACGTAGGTATTTAATATTCGCAGGCACTCTGAATCTGGAAAGCATGCTTAAACCCGAGTTTATCATTACGAAAAGCGGAGGGGTTTAATGTTCCTCTAAATCCTTGAGATTTTCTGTGAAACAGGTTGATTAAAATACTATTGTACCGTCGACTTAAATTCCGGTTTAGGTTTCCTAGTGCTTATTTTGGTCACAAATACGTGAAAACTTCGTGAGTAAGCCAAAACTGGAGTCTTTTTGGGTCTCTCGACATATCTGACATAATGTGACAGGGAGATAGGTGTTTTTGTTATAATATAAGTGTGAGAAGCTTTCCACAGGATATTCGATATAACTAGATTTCGATTGACTTAGAAACCATTCGGTCTTTATTTATCAAAAATAAATATCGTCAACCACCATCTAAATCTACATTTCTGCTTTAAAGAAACTTACCCAAACAGAATCGAACAAGTACTTGTGCAGTTTTTTTGTTTGTTTGTAAAAGTTTCTTTGAAGCAAAACAATGCGAAGATTCACTAATCTGTTGTTAATCTTAAATCTGGTGTTTTTAGTTTATTTACATAATACATATATAAATAACAAAGTATTTCGATTTTGATAGAAAACAAGATGGCGGTGAAGAAACACGAAGTACTTCATGAGACCTGCAGCAAGCAAGCTCTGCACGCCTTAGCGCAGTATATCGACATGATGAATGAACAGCCGAACTATATGCCCCCGATACAGGAGCTCGTGAAGAACTGTCAGGATATTGTGAAATGCTTAGGTAAGTACACTTCAGATGGTGTTAAAATCATCGTAGAATATATTATATGTATACTTCATTTATGTTTTAATGCTCTGTGAGACTTGTGACGTAAAAGCTGCAACGTATTACACATTGACGTGCAAATTGCACCATCCGAAATCGTGTATTCACATATGTACGTGTATGTCATGTCAGCCGAAAGCTGCAGTCTACGGCCGGGTAGGTTTTCCCGCGTTATCTGTACTAAAGTATCGATGCAGACCTTTCATAGTAATGACGATACCTATCCATTAGTGTCCACTTTTGTGTTATCCATTAGTGCGATTATTTCGTGGGCCTTTTACTTAATTTAAATCTATGGACGGAGACAAAACCGCATCAATTAACATGTTCAGGAATACTGGATAGGTAAAATAGGCTTTTAAAATGTACTGTATAAATACAGCCATGGTTAGAAGTATCACGTTGTATGATAATAAAAGTATCAAGCGTTGTATGATAAAATATACATGTATATATTGTGACGAGCTAGGGGTTGCGGGATTGGAGTAAAATGCCGGTATTTCAATCTTCACTTTATTTACAAACCAGAGTGTGCACATGTCGTGTTACCGCACAAGTCCCTACACTTACTCTTCAACAGGTGGAACGGCCGTCTTTTTGTCGCACTAGTCATCAACTTACACTACTGCTACTAGAATTTAAGTACGCCTTTCAAGTCTGTCAAAACAGTTATGTTTTTTTAGATTTCCTGATTCTATAAACAATATATTGTATCATCAAAATAATGTACTCTGATACAATCATGATTACAACTTAATATTGTGCTGTTACACGCGCTGAAGCCCGAAAAAACGCCTGCTGCATGGCACTAATGGGGACGGTAGGCGTGTTTTTGGTAATTGGTTCAAAAAGAAGACTGGTGTGAAGAGGAAGTGTATGACACGTGTAGAGTTGCACACTCTAGATTTTTGTCTTTCTTCATGCGGTCTTCTTTGACAAACTTAATACCTGATTCCACTACCAGCTATGCATATTCTATATTTGAAACTATAATTCTCCTCCTTTGTTAAAGAGATATGCATTATTCTCACCTGAAAGTTAGAATGTATCTTTGTATCAAATGTCTTCCAAGGAAAGCCGGTGGAAAGCCACGGCTTTTTTTTATTTACTTAACCTTACACCTTTATTATACCTTACACTTCTTGATCGCTTCTCAATTTCACTATCACTTTTCTTATGCACTTTTATCAATACTTTTCTTCTTATTTTCACTTTGAGCTAGGAAAACAATTTTAAACAAAATTAATTACGTCTTTGAAAACTCTCAAGACATCAGATCAGGTGTACGGTGTACCGTTGTTGTATTTTTTCCATAAGAAAAGAGTCTGACAAAATATTTTTAATAAATTTCAATCTAAAATTTTAAACTGATCTAAATTATCAGTTTTGTGATTTGTGATATTTCATTCTTTAACCACGGCCGTATGTCTTATAAGCTATATTGATTGCGCCAACTGTTTCAAGAAATTTACAAGTTCAATTCATTAAACTGTCACGTGTACTATTAATAATACAAAATAAGGTTAACTATTTTATACCTATTTCGACGTCGCCGACAATCTTCGCTCAAAGCAAGATATTTATAGAAACATAATTTGTACAAGCTTTTTTTTTATTTTATATTTTATAAAAAAAAAAGTATATGACTCACTTTATGGTATGATCATGATGTGTTTTAGGTAATGGTTTACATCTCATATCGCACATTTGTTTTAAGAAAGCAGATATATCTTATCAATAGTAAATCGTGTTAACTTGATTTTGAAGAATTAATAAAACTAAATCCTTCGTTTCGTATATACCTTCAGCCCTCATATTAAATTTCATCATCATCATTGCAGCCTGTTTGAGTCCACTGTTGAACATAAACCCACAGCATCATCCATCGACTTCGTGCACACTTGATTAAATTTCGTTGTAGAATAATGAGGAATGCCGGATCTTTACCGAAGAATCTAAGTAAAAAAAAAATCTCGTAGAATATTGATTACAACTGTACCTACCCATTAGCATCTAGCGACGTGTATGTTCCCCCACAGATCAGGCATTTCTTTATTCTCTGGTGTATGTACATTACCCAACATGGGATGGCTTATCCGCCATTGAATTTATGAATGATGCTATGATATGTAGTCTTATGATAAGACTATTCTAGGTCATGTTTGCCATCAGGTTGGTATAAAGTTTAATATTTTTAACTAGCTTCCACTTCGGGCCAAGAAGATCAGCTCTGGGATTTGCTAACGACTGTGGAGGAGTTTCTGGTGCGCATTATTTCCACCGTCGACAGCGCTCTGCGTCACGAGATTGTGACAGCCATCCTTGATAAGTTCTACTCCCTAATTTCGGATCCAGGTAAGGAACAACACGCAGACGATATTATTACCTTTAGTTCTTTGATTTCAAAAAGTTCTTTTGATAAATAGGTTTCGTATCCTAGTTAGGTAGTATACTGCCGGTAATAAAGTAATTATATACTTCCAGCGTTTTATAGAGACTGAAACGGGAAACGTTCACAAAGGAAGGATCGGTGCATTGTTTAGTTCAGTTACAACTGAAAGTTTCAACCTAGCTGTTTGCTGCCTGGAGGGCAACATTTTACATTCCATTCACTTTTAACAGAATACTCGTAGAGTTTTCCAGTTCGTAGAATTAAACGAATTTCAATTGGAAATATATCGCTACAAGCAGCTTTTATTTTAATTAAAAGTTCATATATTTCCGAAAGTTCATATATTTTTAATTTTCCTTTTGGATAAATATTGAAAAAAAAATCATATGAATATCGACACCCATGGACGTCACAATATATAGGTAACAGCTAGCAGAAACATGTAATGTTATCACACGCAACATAACATCACGTATCCTTTGTGTTTGGCATTGGGGTACTGTTGAATAAGTCTTTCCATGCTAATATCAGCCAGCTAGGCAGGCTATTGCAGAACGTCACAAACAGGGACGAGTTTGACATAGGTACATTAAATTTCCCCCATTATTATATAAATATATAAATAAATAAATAAGTGCTAAAGCAATCATACTACGTTCCTCTGAAAAAATTAGCGGGATGAAATCTGCATATCTGATGAATGTTAAAATTACCCAAACTGATGACCATAACTTTATGTATAGATATCAATTTCGATTTGGAGACCACTTGATAAATTTAGTTATAAAATATCATTTCTTATTCGCGTGTTGCATTATCAAAGAAACTATAACCGAGAAATTCTTTTTAATGATGTCGGGACGACCATAAGCGGTTTATTTACAAAATGCTCTTTGAAAACTTTCGCGTTCCTCTTCTACCTTACGTCTGATCAGATAAGCGTTTTATAGAAATAGAAAATAAAATTTTATAGAAATTTTACGTCTTATTTAAGAAAGCTTTTATTTATTCCATTACACACCTTTCTTAGTTTCCTTAATACTATTTTGATAATTTTACAAAATGTTTAATACTTTTTTCGAAGGTTTTATATAGCAAACAGATTTTTATTTTGAAGCCTTTCATACTTATGGGATGAAGAAACCATTTTAGAGTAACATATTTTATGAACATCGTATATATTCGTACTTTACTTTACTTCAATTATTTTCAGTTACGTAAATTCAATTCAACATACTTTATATTTTCCGTCATTCTTTATACAACATATTTTCCGATCCCAACAAAAACATTAAGCTTCGTGAATTTAATGACTACACTGTTATCCGATGCTTGTAAATGTTTTGTTTTAAATATTTTATGACTTTCTCTGAGGACGCCCCTATAATTCAACTTTCACGAGTTAACAGTTTTAAACGCTGAAAATTTTATGAAATAAAGTATAAATTTAAGTTATAATAATCTTACTTTGAAAATATGTAATAACTGGGGGCGCATTAAAAGTGTAGGTTAGATAATATATTTTTTTATTTACTTAAAAATAAAAATATTTTTGTATTTTAAATATCCGGTCGCATTTTTTGAGGGTAAATTGAAATGTCGTGTCTCATGGAAAAAGGTATCTGCATGGGGCACATTTTCGTCTGAAGATATTTTACGATTTCAAATGTGGCTTAAAACCGAACGAGTTGTTTGATCGACTTCAAATGGTATTTATGGATGACGGACAAAACCAACCATCGTTATCATAACGAAATCAAATATGGTCGCCCTAACTTTACGGGATGGACAAAGAAGTGGTCGTTCATCGACGGCTGTTCCCGGAGAAAGTTTGCTGGCTGAAAAATTTAATTCAAGGAAACAGGCAAATTACCTACGAAGAGATTCAGCAATCAGCATACATCGCTGATTCGGGAAGTGTTCACAAGATTATAAATGAGAACTTTCGTGTGAGGACGTTAGTTTCGTGCTAGGTGCTTTACAACCTTACCGATACTCAGAAGCAGGCCCTTGTGGAATGGTGCCGTGACATGATTAGTAAATTTGAAGTAGGCTCGTTTCAGCGCGTTTACGACTTTGTGACAGATGACAAAACCTATATTTATCAATACGATCCTGAAACAATGCGTCAGTCAATACTTTGGCTGTTTCAAAACGAACCAACGCCTACTGAACATTTACTACGGAAAATTTTATCGTTAGTTTCTTCACTTTGGGTATCTGGTATCGATTCCATTACGAAGCAGCATCAAAGCCGAATAGTATACTTAAAAAAAATTCAAAATATCTTTATTGAACTAGACGCTTGCGCGTTCTTATGAAACATATGCTTAAAAAATCGAGAGTGCCTACCATAAGTTTTTACTGCAATGAGCAAAAAGCGACCGAACACCCAGCACCGTGGGGTACTGCTTGACCACGACACGCGCCCGCGCACTCAACGCTCAAAACGAGGGACTACCAAGACACCACACCGGTCAAAATCTTGCGTCGACCTCCTCACAGTCCCGGTCTCGCAACGTCTGACTTCTATTTATTCCCTAAAATATAAATTCCACTGAAAGGGACATGGCTTTCATCGCTGGAGGAGGCGCTAACAGCGTTTGAGGAGGCTGTAGAAGGGTGTCTGCTGCGAACTTGAAAAAAACTTGTGCTTCTAAAATTGGTCCAGATGCGTGAAACTTTGTATACAATTTGTTGGAAAGTTTTTTGAAAAGATTTAATGAAAATAGCTTATCCATATAATTATTTTTTTTTAGTTTCCCAATACTTCCGAGTGTCCCACGTAGAATGAAAGGCGGAATTCCTGTAGCTACTCAAATGGGCGGCTGGTGTTCATGTTTATCTACGTACTTTAACCTTTTTATTATTAAAAATATCTAAATTTCTATGCGACATCAATTAAGTTAGTGAAGTCTATAAATTATTTAAAATAAATACAATCTCGGCTTTAAATTAAAGTATAATTACTTCAGCAAATCGTGCATTCGACAGCCCTTTAAATTCAATTATTTGCAATTCTATATCGGGCTATCCATAACCCGGACCAAACCGCGCGAGTCATTACGCTATTTAAACGCTATCTGTACGACTAAATAAACTTTTCAAAGCTTCGGTGGCATTTTACATTTTACATAATATATAGTTTTTCACTAAAAACATAACCGATAGTATCGGGCCATTTAGCAGTAGAACAATCTAAGCGATTATCATTCTAACAAATTTTTAAAGAAACCGGTGGTTATTTATTGAAGAAACCCTGATTTGCAAGTGCAATAGTATCATATTGTTATCAGCTAGTGTTCCCATACTACAGATACTACAGAGAACTACAGATACAATCTGCTGATTTAGGATCATTTAAACCGTATTTTCTTTAACGCGAAGTACAGTTAATAATCCAAATATGTTGAATTCGATGCATATACATCGTAAATCATGAAATGATCAAATGCAACTCGATAAGAAATGTTGATTTTTGTGCGCTCCACCATGCCTTTATATTGGCTGAATGTTTTCGAACCAGATAGTATTTCGTTTTTACAGATTTGATGCATTTCTACGATCGAATCATTGCGTCTGAATTCTGTAAAATAGTCCGTAATCCATGCCAACGTCCCGAAAAGGATTGGTTTTCCTAATTAGTAGCTTTTGAGAGTCTTCCCACGTGTATGAGTCTCTTTGTCTATCGCATTTCAGACAGTAATTAATGTACCTACCTATGTCTATGTGCCTATGCACATTACTTGGTTTCAGAGTTCCCTTTAATTGTAGGTTTTTATACATAAGTATCCGTAATACAATTCAGGCGATTTAAACTTTGAAACTTGTTTTATAATACAGTCAGCTTTTTTGTTATATTCAAATTAATTACATATAATTGATAAAAACGAAATCATTTTATGACAAGTAATTTATAATAATAAGTTGTGTTTCAAATGACAATAAGTTAATATACATTGGTTATCGCATGCCGCATCTGGCAAACATGTGAGCTATTTAATAAAATATATATATATCACTGTATTATGTACCATGCTTATGCGAATAAATGATTATTATTATTATTAATTTAGAAATGGTAAAAGTTAATTTCAACCGACTTCAAAAAAGGAGGAGATTTTCAATCGACTTTATTTTTTTATGTTTGTTACCTTAGAACTTTCGACTGAGTGAGCTGACTGATTTTGATGATCCTTTTGTTAGGTGATAGCTGGTACTTCCCATGTTGGGACCATATTAATTTCATTGTTAATTGGATTTTAGGATCCCGAGATACTTAGGGAACTCCTGACATTCAATGTTATAATATGAATACAGAGCGAGATATTTGAAGTCGGTTTTTTTTTTCTCTAATAAAAACACGGACTTGTTTTATTTTAACTTGATACGTTGCTACAAAGCTGTATTATGAATCGTGTATGGATTATGAATCTCGGTGATCTGTTTAACGTTGATATAGAGTCCAGAGCGTGCCCTGCAATGTCGGTGGCGCTGATTGTGCTCGATGGGATGGATGAGGAGGCATCACTCTCCGCCGCCCGCTGGCTGGTGCAACGTGGTGAAAATGGGCCGAACGGAGCTGGACTCCGTGCCTCGCTCGCCTGCCTCTATCGCTGGATTCACGAGTGGAACAGCACACCCGCTTTAGGCGACTGGCTACTTGCCTACATCAAAGCTTTGGAGGTCAGTGCCTAGTGTTTCACATTTCAGATTTCCATTAACTTGCCGACTGCACGTTCCGGTTTTCGCTTACAAACGTCAAAACTATTGCAGTCTATGGTTTTAACTTGGCTTTTATTTCAAACTTACATAACATTATCGTATTAAACTTATTAAAGATCCATCTGACCATTTATTAGAAATTTAACATTTTATAAACTACGGCAATCACAACGATGAAAGATCACTTTCAAAGAGAAGCACTGATTGTTTCAGAAGTAATCGTATTCGTAATATAGAATTGAAATTTTTAATAGAGTAATCTTCTTATCTTATATATAAAAATGGATTGCTATTCGTTAGTCTCGCTAAAACTCGAGAACGGCTGGACCGATTTGGCTAATTTTGGTTTTGAAATATTTGCGTCAGTCCAGGGAAGGTTTAAACGATGAGAAATTATGGAAAAATTGCATGGAAAATCGAAATAGCAACAATTTCATTTTCCCATACAAACCATACCTGTCAACCTGTCAACTATGTCTGTCAAACACTTCCAAATTCCCTAGAAATAATTTATATGGCAAAACAACGTTTGCCGAGTCAGCTAGTTAACAATATGATTTGATGAGCTTTGATTGAGCAATATGATTTTTTATCTATTTATTAATTAGAGTTATTCGTGTTTTAATAATTTTATAAAATTATTTAGTTGTCTAGTTTCAAGTCTTAACATGGTATATAAACTGTATATTAAATATTTTCCAATCTTAGAACTCTAACGTATGCAAGGCACATATATGTTTCAGAGAGTTTACTAAAAATAAATTATGAAGAATACTTTTTCATTGGTTTCAAACAGACGAAAATAGTATTTTGAACCGACTAGAAAAAGGAGGTTATGAATTCGGATGTTTGTATATTTTTTTATGTATGTTCGCATAACTCCGTCACATATAGACGGATTTGTAAAATTCTTTTTTGAACGAAAGTGTTTCATTCCAAAATGGTCCCATATAAATTTCATATAGACATGATGATGACTTTCGGAGATAGACAACAGAACTCTTGAAATAGTGATAGCAAATCAGTGCTCCTATAGCATAAATATGGATTGTTTTGCGCAATTACACAACATTATGTCGTATATATATTTTTACAATTAATACGTTGTTTTCGCTTTCTTAGCCGTCATGTGTGCCTTGTAAGCGTCTACTTATCTGACAGTGGGATAAATTCAAACTGTAACTCCATCTGCAAAATCTTATATCAACAGTATTCCTAGATGTTAGAAAAGCAATTCAAGTTGAGTCGTTGTCAAATCCTTGTTAATAAACTTATAGCCAAATGAGTGCTACTCGACGACTCCGAAACTTGTTAAATTTTTTAAAGATTAGGTAAGTTCGGTTAAATCGGTTAGATTTTCAATATTTGATTATATTAGATTTAGTATTATCTAATGGAGTTTTTTGAAGTCTGTTCTTTTTTTTGTTCAAAAGCTTTTTTGGTATAGTTTTTGTAAAATTTAATTGAAAATACCCTGTTTATCGGGTCTCTACATAATTTTGATTACGTTTTAAAGTACTTCAGTGCTAAGCCTTGAAGTCTAACTAGTAAGTTTCTTTTAAAGTTTTTTGGACATCAAGCTATAATAATATGTACATAAGGTTATTGAATGGGAACGGCTTTTCTAGACTCTGTTAGCTTACTAGAAACTTATGCGTCGTTAAAGTAATATAATGCTTACTACTCCCACATATTCAAACATCATATAGAATTTGTTGAAAACGTTTTGTGAAACGTTGAGCTTACGTACTTTCAAACTCAATTCTCTATCATCAATTAATGCAATTGGTGGATATAAACAAATGGGGACTATGTCTAAGAGTTTTCCTACAGGCAGCATAATTTTGAAAAATACGCGAGCGTGTTATAAAAATGTATCTTTCTATTATTGCCATATTCTCTACCGTATTGACAAATATGCCTTTTGAATTTTGTGTTAATGGAAAATCTAATTTTAAAGGTTCTATCTAAAGTTTGACTTTAGTTCAAGAATGGTGGGTCAGTATTGAGGATTACGTAACCTTTCAGGAGAATGAGCACTTTGACATTTTGATCGAGGTGAGCGTCGAGAATTTGTGCAGTCTGGTAATGATGCTAAACGATCCGACGAGCGTACGGCAACCTGTTGCCGATACTATCTTCCATATATTGGCATCGCTGCGCGAGTCCAGTGGCGCCTTCGAGAAGGTAATCAATAAGTATATCCTAGCCCACGTTTATATGTAGTAGTATTTCACATGTGATAGAGCTTTCTAGAATGATTCACTGCTGTTCTTTATATACTTTAAGTAGCTCTGAGTAAGCTTGTTTTTTACTCAAGTACGAGTCGTCAAATGCCTACGTCTCATAGCTACGAAGCATTTACAAAATAGCTACAAGTTTTTTTTAAATTATCGCATTAGCTTCAGAATCCTAAGACCTAAGATGAAATTGTTGTATAATAATAATAATAATAATTGTAAAGTTGTTTGGTCCGACGCGACGGATAAAATGAAAATTTGAGACTTGCAGCTTTTAAAATGATTTTCGTAACGATGAGCCATGTCTTCGTCATTGACGTTAAAAACCATAGAACGGATGTTTTCTAGAAATTTCGATCACAAGGATGATCATGATAAGCGGATCTCAATTGAGGTAGTTTTAAATTGGAATCAACGCTTTAAACGGTTTGAGAAAATTGAAACTTATAGGTCGCCCAACACGTGACTTGTTTGCTGGTGGTCTTGGCAACTGACAGTGGCCAATGGAGTCGGCAGCTGTTGCAGAACGTCGTGGACATATCCACTGCTATGATTCGCTATATGATGAGCATCCTCAATGGAGTTGCACTCGATAAGTTCAAGGATAAATATTCCTTTGTGGTGGGTAACTTTTATCTTATGTATGTATAAGTATTGCAGGTAATTTATTTTCGCACTTAATAAGTATAATTATTGGTGGACGTGGTTCTTCACTGCTGGCAGTATGAGGCAGCTTAAAGTCGCTCAGCGAGCTATGGGGCGGGGTATGCTCGGTATTTCTCTGTGTGAATGAGTTCGAAACGAAGACATCCGCAGTAGAACAAAGATAACCGACATAGCTCAGATGATTAGTAAGCTGTAGTGGCGATGGGATGACCATATAGCTCGTAGTACCGATAACCGATGGGGAAGAAAGGTCCTCGAGTGGCAGCCTCATACGGGCCATCGCAGTTTAGGACGACCCACCCTCCACTGGATGGAGTGACGGCCTCTGCAAATGTGCGGGAAGTCGATGGGTGCAGGTGTATCGTGCTTCGCGGCAGTCTTTGGAGGAGGCCTATGTTCAGCATTGGACTCGAACGGACTGAAATGATGATGACGATTACGATAATTACATATGGAATATTGCAGTGACACAATTTATTTGACGTGTTATTATTATTTTTCAGTTCGTTTTTTTGCTATATAATTTAAAAAAAATGTGACCGTGACAATAAATAACCGGGTTTATTTTTATTATCCTCCTTTAATTAATTTTATATATTGTTAGGATTTTCAGAGAAACATTTGTTAGATGAATATTCATTTCAAATTTATGATAACATTTTACTATTTATTTTACGACGTATATTTATTTAATCGTATAAATAAATATACGTCGTATAAATAAATAAAATAAATATAGTCGTCCAATAAGCCAATTAAAATGTTGAACCGGGATTCAAGTCTTATTTGCCTTAATACCGAAATAATAGATTGCTATTTGAAAGAACCTCAATAATGAGCATGAAAAGAAGCTCAGAGAATAAATATTTTCCATTTGAATAGATTTCCACGGGATCGTCAGCCCATCCACTTGCGTTTTAACAAGATATTATTTTCTGCAGTCCTCCAATCAGCTATTTTAAGATCATACTTAAAATATAAATAACTTATTTAATTTCAATTTAATCCATACCTAAAACAATACACTAATATTATCTGCACTAATATGTTTGTATTGATAATATATGTACATAGTTTTCCAACGCATATGCAAAAATTAATAAAACCGCGGCATTAATATTCTGATAAAATTGAGTTTGCATATCAACTGAGTGCAGTACGTAGTATTGTACCGTATAAATACGGGAATTTTTGGTGTAATTGATTTACAAAATGGATTTCGTGTTCATTTGTTATTCCCCACTAGCAGCCTCTGCAATCAACCGTTCTAGTCCTACTATATTTTTTTTACACTTTTTAATTTTAAAGGTAGCTGCTGTTATTTTTTTAATACTATTATTTTTATCGCAGGTTCATAAATATTAATATTTGTTAAAACCTAAAAACATACACGTAGTGGTAAAAGTCAATTATATAATTATTAAGTTCAATCGTAAATCGTAAGCGCTATATTTCTGTACATAATTGTACTTAACCTGGTAATAACTGTAAATATGTAAATAAATATTCATCTCTTCGAGACGGGAAAGACCTGTAATATTCCAGCAGTTTCTAGGCTTCCGTGAAACGCTATTTCCCACCTGGATTTCCGTTCGTAACTCCGTCTTCCTGGAAGCGACGCGTCATAAGAAGGAAACATTGCAGATTGGATGCTTGGAACGCCACATGTCATCCAGCTCCCGTTTCCTGCAACTTCCGCCGTGGAAAGCTCGCAACGTGACGTTGCCTAACCCGAATTGTCATGTTCCATTGCGTAAGGTCGGACTTTTGAATCTGGGCAACACTTGCTACATGAACAGCGTGATGCAAGCTCTGCTCGCGACCAAGGTGTGAGTACATAAACACTACTGTTATTTACATTTATATAATTATGGAAACTCCTCAGGTTGCATTTCGACACTTGATATACACATCTTTCGTCTCTTTCGTTACATGAACGAGATGAAAGATGTTATTCTACGTGTGCGATACTGCTGTGCGTGAATAATAATTTAATATTAATTTTAATTGGCATAAAAATGTGCAATTTATAACTTTTAAAATATATTTAACTACTGGCACGTCTAGCTTTGTATTATACTTGCTCCTGCTTTTGCTCTGAAACTATTTCCGTTGCAATTTTATAATTAAAGCGGGCTTTTGTTCTCTGATATAAAGTTACGAAGCAAAAGAGTGAGCGAAAAGCTTTTAATTAAATTGCAATTTTTCTTTTCAATTTCTTCTGCTTTCGTTTGAAAGAAACTTCAAATGTGATTGGCTGAAAATTCAATTGCATATTAGTTACAAATGTTGTTTACACCATTTCATGCAATAAGTGGTAATTGATACCTCTTTACTTCCAATGTCAGAGAAAACAGAGAATCGAATCCAATTCGACCACAATTCTAACTATTTATTCTTTAGGATGCTTATGCCTGTTTTCTATTGTCGTCTTGACTGGTGCGACCGCGAATGATTCACCAAAAAAATAAATGCCTTGAAGCTATTATAATTTAGTACGTGAAAAATTTCCTCCGAAAATTTTCCGGTAGAGTCTGTTAAGCTTTGTTCCAAACACGAGGCCATCGAAAGAAATTTATTGTGGCGACATTCTTCATAACAAAGTGATTGTCTATTGCATTCGTTGCGCCCTCGCCGTAACCCCTATGGCGCATTCCGAACGCCAATTATAGACTCGAGTCGACGTGCCGTCCAACGCTTATATAACACTCCACCTCGCATTCAGAAATCAATACGTTACTTGTTTCACGAAAATGTGAAATTTCACGTAAAATAATGACTGCTCTTACTTATAAATGATATCATAACGCAGCGAAGAGAGCACTTCAATTCGTATGCACAAACTGTGCCGAATATATGGAGATAAAAGCGTATTCCATTTCAATAATTCATTAATACGAGCCTTATGCCGTAAGAGCTTTCTGCTGTTGCAATCGGTCCTGTAAAGGCGAACATTTCCAACGATTCCATTGTGAAATTAAAATCCCTGCAGCAAAGCGAATGCGTCATTTCATAATTGATATCTCTTTTATAAATATTAATACGCGAAGAAAAAACATCGAGTCACCTTTTTAAGAACACAAAGTTTATCGAGAGAAGAAATGCAGAGAGTATAATGGAACGTTGTCAAACGGTTGCCAAGAGTAAAGATTGTAATAAAATTTGATTGTTTTATGTGATAAAGTGGCAAACGGGCTGGCGGTTCACCTGATAGTAAGTGATAACCGCCGCTCATAGAATTATGCAACAGCCGAAGGGTTGCAAATGCGTTGCCACCTTTGAATGACATAGGCCTCGGCTACCTCACTCACAAGATGAAACGCTGAAGTGTAACATTTTCTATACTTTACGCCGGTCTTCTGTGAGGTCGTGGTACTCACCCGGACGGACCTGCCCATTTGTGCAACAGCAAAGACATTAGATTGACTGAATGCGTCTTGAGAAGACTATTAATTTGTTAAAATTGATTTAATTATAGATTTAAATATTTTTAGATGCGGCGGTGCTTTCAGTGTCCTTTTATGAAATGTACATTTTAAATTTGCATCATATATTTGTTTGCCCTGCATGCTGCATTTCTGCGAATACCGTATTAGGATTTTACCTTTCGTATTATGGAAGGGCACAAGTGTTTAATTGCTATAATAATATAAATTATGGAGGTAAATAAAAGAATTTTGGTTCGTTTTCTTCTTGTGATAACATCTAATAATCAGAAATACCTCGATAAAAACTACATTCATGTTACGTCCTTCGCTGTAAATGCAATTTAATATATAGATTAAATTCAAATATCTTGTTGTTCATATTATTGCATTTACAAAACAGCTTTTGCGATCGTTCATCAGTCATTAAATAGGTTATAATCACATTTTAAATGGAATGAGTGATGCCCTCGACAGCCGTCCGCGTGACCTATACATAACGCTTGTAATCGCTTCCCGCCAACAGGTTCAGCTCCCACGTGGTCCTCCGCATGACCGCCGTACCCTACTGGGCTAAGCTGGGGGCGCTGTTCGCCAAGATGATGCATTCCATTTCCACTAAATTGAATCCGGAAGAGTTTTTCAAGGTCGTGAGGTCCCCGTTCTTTACCAAGGACAACCAGCACGACAGTTCCGAGTTCCTCGGGTAAGTGTTTGAGGGGATTGGGGGAGGGGGGGGGAGGTTAATCGATCGATCGATCGACTACCCAGTCGTAGGTTTGCGTCATCCAAACGAACCTACGTTTGGAATGCTCGTTACAGTAATTAACCGCAAATCAACGGTCGCTTCCATTGGTTTCAGCTGCCGCTTTCATTAAAATTTCTCATGTATGGTTTGTTGTTTATTACTCTTACCTCAATAAAAAAAATACGATTTTGAGGGTATTAGAGTTATATAGGAATATATCATAAAAGTTACTGATACCTGAAATCATGTGCCTTGAAACTTACTTATACAGTGACAGATTCATACTGAAGTCAATACAAGTTTGTGCAAAACTCAACTTGACGAATTTGTCTACGAACTTTCCTATATTAAACTTACCTGTCATTATCCATAAAAACGAATCGTTCCATTAATTCCGTAGAAAACTCAATTTTCGTGCCCTGATATTTAAACCTTGAAGCCTATAAACCCTAATAGAATATAATATAATAAAAATACTTTTTTCGAAAATGATTTAAAATCACCACGATATGAGTAGCACCGTTTTTACTTACGTCAGCAGCTTAGCAAGAGCTAGAAATTAAAAATTAGCCTTACTAAAAACTTACTTCATAATTTTATAGCTATCTAATTTTTTTTAAAAATGACAATTCCAAAATGTACAAGTCTTTAAATAAAAAATAATTATTTAATTTAAATCAACAAAACTGTATTTTGATAACTATAAAAACGTATTTAACAAAACAAACATTTTGCTGCCCATTTAAATTATATAATTATATAAATATAAATTATATAATAATATGCGTATTTTTTATAAACTACTAGCTTTTCGCCCGCGGCTCCGCCCCCCTCAAATTTTTTTTTTAAATTTAATTAAAATAATTCAATGTTAGTTCCTTTTTAATATCTATATGTATTTGTGTACAGAGTTTTATGATAATCGGTAGTTTTCGCGTGAAAGCGTAACAAACAAACTTACATTCACATGTATAATATTAAGCAGGGAATTAGGGATTATGTTACCAACATCACGGTGTTTCTATTAAACAAAATGATAATTAGCTTTTAGTATTTTTTTTTCGAGCATAGTTTGCCAACTAAAACTAGTCCGGTTACCCGCAAAATAATCAACAAAGAAATCAAGTTTTCATTGAACTATTTTTCCTTGTAAAATAGGAATTCACGAATACAAGAGTATTAACAGCATAATCTGATAGTCCGTTTCTTATTTCACTGCCAATGTTTCCCGATACCGAGAAAATACGCTTTTTCCTCGTCTATGTTGGCTTAATAGTTATTACAGCTTTGCAATTTTCTTCAAGAATTTTTTAATAATAATATTTCTTTATCCACTCTACTAATTTTGAATAATAACTAAAACTATTTAATAGTAGCATCAATTTTATTGAAAAGTTAACGTCGGCAGCCATACTAGTATAAACTGTGTCACGGCTGCCTGCGTCTCTTAATATTAGAAATACATTAGTATAACCTAATAAGTGAATTTTAAACATTTTTAGCAACAATATTTATAACAGGAGGGCTTTCTTTTTATTAAATTCTAGACATAAATAATGTAATATAAAAATGATAAATATTTAAAATCACTCGTAATTAATTAAATACATTCATTTGATTTTTATCTCAAATCTGTGTGCTTTATGGGCAACTCATTTATCTTATCCTTTAAACGAGCAATTCTTGTATATATATATATATATAATCGGAATCTCGGAAACGGCTCCAGCGATTTTCTTTAAAATTTAGTATGTGCGTAGATTCGGGGGCGAGAAGTCGATCTAGCTAGGTTTCATTTTCAGAAAATGACCTTTTATCCCTGTTTTCAGGGAATGAAAAATATAATTCGAATATGACGGTAAATTTCGCCGCAGGAGAAAATGTCATAATAGCTCGGTCGGTAATCGGGCGGCCCCAAAACAGACGACCGTGGTTCGCGTCACGATCGTTTACACATTTATTTTTTGACTTTTTTTCGATTCCAGATCATTGCTTTCTTTATTTTTAATTTTTTGTCGATTTGTTATTTTGTTATTTTTTCCCTTTTTTTTAAAGTTCTTTCTTTTGTGAAAAACATCAGTTCATATTTTCTTATTATTACGTCGGTAAGATCGAAACATATTATGCATATTTCATTACTTAGTAATTTGTATCTAAATGTAATTTCCAAAATACACGATTTACCAAAAAAAAAAAACAAACCGAGCAAAGCTCGGTCCTCCGGGTACTTTTATAACTAACACGCACACAAGTTCGTTTCAAAAGTATACGACGCATTTATGAATGAATACCGCAATGTTCTGTTTTTAGGGAATGGAACAATTTTTTTGAAAAAAAAGAAGTATGTTTTTATTTCAATAAACGATTATACTACCGTGTCTGAATCTCCTGTGTGAATTTGGGCACCTATAAAAAAGCCCCCCTGTATGTAATATATGATTGGTCTTGTCTGAAGTTTCAGCCGAGTCAGCGATTTTGAGGTCCTGTTCATTATCTTGATTTCCAATGGCGGAAACTTTGGTTGAACTAAAATTTGAGAACATGTTTGATATATCTCGAGTGGTTGAATTTTCCCGTTCTCGAGAGAGTTCGATTTCTCGAGAATTCCCGCCTCAAAAAATAATCTGCAATTTTCTTTTATGTTATAGTAGTTATATCATAGTTTTTATTGCCTAAAATGCCAACAATTCGTTGGTTTACCTTATGTGACGAGCCAAGCAAGATATGCACCGTCATTTGATTTTCGCAGACCTCTTCGTCGAAGCCTGTTTCGCAGCACTCAACTGTGGAACCAACTTCGCTAGTTGTTTTGAGTCATGTAAAGTTTTAACTCTACTTATATTTCCGTAGGTATCTGTTCGTGCTGCTGCAGTCGTACGAGCATAGGTCGGACCGCCACTTCGACTACTCGCGGCCCGCCGTCCTCGCCAGCCGCCCTCGTCAGACCCCCAACGTCTACTACCAGGCGGGGGCATCCGTCAGGTAAGTATCACCAATACCCCACTGTCTAGCATTTTCCCGCACACCGCGGGGGAATATTCGCCGGCCCATTTTTTCGCGTGGTCGACGCTAAGTGTCGGAAATCGTTTCCCCGCAGTTTCCTCACGCTTAATTCGAAGTCTCCCGACGATAGGAATATTTATGCAGTTCTGGGTTTTTTCCGTCCGCCCCCTCCCTCGAACGCGAATGCCAAGCGATCTGAACGTTATGAACAGTTACACTTCTGCGTTTCGTCTGGTGTGTGAGGTAAACGGGGCCCACTTTATTAAAAGTTGGTAACGCATTTGCAATCCTATGGGTGTTGCAAATGTCCGTGGGCAGCGGTTATCACTTAACACTGGGTGAACCGTCAGCAAGTTTGCCACTTTCTCACATAAAAAAATCACAACATCAGGTGAACCGTCTGGTCAATTGACAACTTTTCACAAAAAAAAACAATGTGTTGTTATATACAAATGATTTAAACTCAGTCAATATTTCATTCAGAAAATGGAGAAGAATTCCTACGGCATAACAATGCCAAATCAATGACAACCACATTAGCGCACCGGATAACGTGCTTTCCGATGAACGCTAGGGATCGAAGCAAAATTTGTTTAAAGCGATCACCCGTCGGTTCGAGCACGGACGTCACCGTAACATTGTTACATGAAATAATGTCGATTCTCTCTGAAACCCCTCGCTTCACCGGATGCACAGTTTATTTAATAAAGTAGCTGTGCACAGTTTGTAATAATATTAATTTCCACGAGCTCACGGTAAATATTGCAGCAGTTCCTTTGATGTAAAATGATAAAAGTGGTTGGCAAAATTTTGCATCGATAACAAATAACCGCGGTGGAAAGGTCAATATTATCAGTTCGTACGGCTGGAAATACTAAAGCTTAATATATACAATATATATATATATAACCGTAAAGACACGCTGTATATATATATATAGTACCTGGAGGACCGTGGACCTGGTAAATCGTGTATTTTGGAAATTACATTTAGATACAAAAGAAAGGGAAAAAATAACAAAATAACAAATCGACAAAAAATAAAAGATAAAGAAAACAATGATCTGGAATCGAAAAAAAAGTAAAAAAATAAGTGTGTAAATGATCGTGATACGAACCACGGCCTTCCGTTCGAATAATATTTTTCATTCCTTGAAAACTGGGATAACACGACATTTTCTAAGAATGAGACATTTCTAGTCAGATCGATTTTTCGCCTCCGAATCTACGCACGTACTAAATTTCATGAAAATCGCTGGAGCCGTTTCCGATATTCCAATAATATATGTATATATATATATATATAAAAATTATTTTTCTAACAAACTAAGAAAAAGAGAAACAAAATTTGTAAAAACACGCTATATATATACATATAAAACACGCTATATATATATATATATATATATATATATATATATATACACACAGCGTGTCTTTACGGTAAAGAATTAATCGTTTGCGGGTTAACGCGCATTTGAATTTCAATTCTGAGCCCCAATATTTAAATCATATTATGCACGTGACACTAAAAGCGCAGTCCAAACGCGGAAGGCTGAAGAGTGGTCACTGTATAATGCCGGGAATTTAATTATCACCAATTCTGAAATACTCTGTTTCACACCATATTATACATATATATTGCAGAAAAATCGCCTCTGCTGTTACTTTATCGACTTGCGCCGCCGGTTCGAAACAGTCCTAACAATAAGATACTAATGTTCAAAAGTTTTTGATCACTTTATTTCTTTTTAAATGCAATTAATAATTAGTTCTCCTCTGCAATAAATTTATAATAATAGGCCATGGAAAAAAGTAATGTTATTCTTGGTTTATTGTTATTTGTGTGGCATTGACACAAGATCGTGTCAATATGTGATATCACTAACACGTCAAAGAAAAGCTTGGCACTAATTAAATTATTAAGGTGGACATCGTAATCCATATTGGAACATCGTCCATCATATCGTCACATAGAAACTGTACCCTCTTCAATTATTCTCGACCCATCATTTAGCACCCATCGGACCGTGTCATTCATTTCACATGTTGTTGTTTACTATGGAACTGTCGAAAACGTTAGATTGTTTTTTAACTAGATTAAACAAGACGGCCAAGTGCGAGTCAGACTCGCGCACGAAGGGTTCCATACCACATGGGAACCACTTAATTATTTTTAATTCTGTTTTTTTAGTATTTGTCGTTATAGCGGGCACAGTAATACATTATCTGTGAAAATTTCAACTGTCTATTACGGTTCATGAGATACAGCCTGGAGACAGACGGACCGACAGAATACCGAACAGATACACAGACAGCGGAGTCTTAGTAATAGGGTTCCAAACGGTCGCAGTGCTATTGACGCGCACAGATTACAACGTAGCCCGGGGCGGCTTTTGACGGATGTCGGTTTGTTTCAATGCGGTCTGGTCTGCCCATGGTTTAATTAACGAATGCTTTCAAAAGCGCTCGTGAATGAAGTTCCGGACACTTTCCGCTTTCAGTAATTTGTCGGTTTGCCGCCGCATTGACATTGTACTGCGTTTTCCGCCACGTTTACAAAGAATATATATAAATAAACCGAGTCAGTAAATGGAAATACTAAAACTTTTACAACATAAAAGTTTACTTTCCAAAATGCGAAGGATGTTGATGCAATAAAAATATTAAATGGTTTCTTTTTAATTTTTATATCTTTAATTAACAAATACACACATTTATTAGTACAACAAAAAGATAAATTTTACTCTAAGAAAATGTTACTATATGTATAGACAGGGTTGGATTATTAACCACTGGAAATTAGTACAACTACGTTTCGTACGAACTCAATGGACAACTGAACTTTATACATCGTTCTGTCAAAATCCGACTCTATCACCTGCTGATGGGATAGTCTTGTGACAGATTATTCTAAACAGTAGTTTAGAATAATCTAGTACAGTCTTTCAAACCAACTGTGACATATTCCGGGGAGGTACCGCGACCTAACATAAGAGCGGCGTGAAGTGTTAGTGTTATACTTCAGATAGCCGGGGCCCGCTTTATTAAAAGGTTACGCATTTGCATTCCTATGTGGGTTGCAAATGTCCATGGGCGGCGGTTATTACTTAAGGTCAAGTGAATCGCCAGCAGCTGGCCACCTTCTGACAATATTTATTAGACAAATATTTCAAAAAATAAATTTTTTATAGGTCACTCATTTATGGATTCGACTGATATTCCTGAAATTAGTCTTCGTTATCGATTGTAAATGTGAAACGGCGCATCATTGACCGCTGAGAATTTTTCGTGTTCGGTTTAGCAATATGAAATCCAAATGTATTGTTATGAACACACAAAGGAACTAACGCCATTTGTGTTGGACCTAGCGCTAGTGAATAAAGTCTCCAAAAGAGTCAACAGGTCTTTCTCTCCAAATCCTTCGAACCCTAACGCGTAACAGTATTTTGAACGGAAATTTAACAGTTAACTCTCTATGGAATAAAAAAAATATTTTGGTACTTTATGTTATTGAAATAAGCCTTTGTATTCTCCTCACAACTTAAAAAACATTGCATCTTAATATATACAGTACCCGGAGGACCGAGCTTTGCTCGGTTTGTTTTTTTTTTGGTAAATCGTGTATTTTGAAAATTACATTTCGATACAAATTACTGAGTAATGAAATATATATTTTACGATCTTACCGACGTAATAATAACAAAATATGAACTGGTGTTTTTCACAAAAGAAAGAACTTAAAAAAAAGGGAAAAAATAACAAAATCATCTGGATCGACAAAAAATAAAAAATAAACAAAGCAATGATCTGGAATCGAAAAAAAGTAAAAAATGTAGGTGTGGAAAAATCGTGATACGTGCCACGGCCTCCTGTTTCGTGGCTGTTTGTTAGTGGTCGCCCGATTACCGACAGAGCTATTATAAATTTTTTTTTCGGTGAAATTTTGCGTCGTATTCGAATGATATTTTTCATTCCCTGAAAACTGGGATAACACGACATTTTCTAAAAATGAAACCTAGTCAGATCGATTTTTCACCCCCGAATCTACGCACATACTAAATTTCATGAAAATCGCTGGAGCCGTTTCCGAGATTCCAATTATATATATATATATAAGAATTGCTCGTTTAAAGGATAATAATATGTTTTTGTAAGTAATTGGCCTTCCGTAATCATTCGCACGGTGACGAATCTCAACCAAAGTAAACGACGTAGCCAAAACAACGCATGTTGAAAAGTTGTTTCTTATCTTTATATAACAGCTATTTGTTTACAATTTGTAAATTGAACTCGGAAAGGTGACGCTCAGTCTTGCGCCACCATTCTTTTGTTGTGATCTCAAATTTGCATCTTATATGTTTTGCAATTTTGAATAATTCAGTTATTGACCAAAATCCATACTAAAACCGGCGGTAGCATAAATTTTCCAAAATATATCATGTACCCATTTTTAAGTTAATTTATACACAGCTTTTTCCTGCAGCCACGGCCATTTTATATTGTTGGGTAATTTTCATTCATCCATCTCACGGAACTTTTCTCTATTCTGCGCTAGTCTGCAAAGACTGATGGCGTCCTTGATGACTGTCCTTTTTTTTAAATTGTTACTCAATGTTATTCCTCTTCATCTTCTTCGTCTTCCACGTTTTCCTTCTATTTTACCTTGTATGTCATTACATATTATTATACATATAAACCTTACTCTTGAATCTATATCACTATCTAGTAAAAATATGCCGGCGGTCTTGCCGAAGCTTTACAACCTGGGAACCTTCAAGAAGAGAGCATACTCTTACCTAAAAGGCCGGCAACGCATTTGTGAGCCCTTGGGTGTTGCAGGTGTTCATGGGTGGCGGTGATATAAAAAAAATTGCATACATTTGTTAAATTCGAGACAGTTCGGTATTAGTACTTGTATGGTGACCAGGGCCACTCTTGTCCCAGAAACCAAATTGCGTGATTGATATATTTTTATAAATTTTGTTGTATATTCTGAGTGCAATATTTTTAGAAGGCCTTAAGGGCATGACTCATTAAGCTGATTAATCTATGATCACCGCATCTCTTTGCGTTAGCCTTTTTTAATTGGGAGAAAGGAAGGTTAAAGCCAGTCGTTCGGGATCATTCCCGTATCATAAATTATAAACTTTTACTAATATCTGCATATTATAGGTATCTAGTAGTAATTTCAACATTTCTGCATGCATTCTATCTGGGCCGTCCGCTTTTCCGTTCTTCGTGCACTTAATGGGTTTTTCTAACTTATCTTTAAGAATGGAGGGTCCTTCTAGTTGATGTTATGTTCATATAATTCACTATGTCAATTTACCACCTCTCTCATCTGTCTTACGAATCTGTCAAACAGATCTTTAATATATTTTTCCCAGGTCTTACATTATTGCTCTTGATCTATAATTAACACATTTTTTGCATTTAGTAAATTTCCCGTTAAATTTTTTCTATTAGTTTTCGTAAATTCTTTGACCTTTTTATGCAGATTGAAGCTGATGAGTAATAATTAGAGATAACTTAATATATTCGCGTATAGAACGTCCATTATAAAATACAATGTATTTAATCTTAAAACTTCTTTTCAGTGACAACGAGCGCTGTGAATCGAGTTACAGCTTTCGCTCTACCTCACCACGACCCGGTAGGAATAATTATTTCTTAATATGTTTTAGAATAGCTCACGTGTATAACAGGTATGAGAGTTTGACTAAAATTTATTAAAAATTTATCTTAATTTTAAATTCATTTATTATAATTTTCTTTAAGGTCGGTTACCAAGTGAAATTAAAGGTATTTTTTCAGTTGCAAAACACGAGTGAGGTACGGAAGGTTACGGATTACGTACAAGTTTCTTTCCAGTTTCCGAGTACCGAGCACGTGGCAATAAGGCTTCGGTATCGGAAATTTGTAGAAAACACGGGCTATTTACTGTTGTAAAAATAAAAAAGTTTCTGCGTATTAGGTAGGATTTCGGCAATTTATTTGATTTTTATTTATCACTAGCGACCCGCCCCGGCTTCACAAGGGTGCAATGTATTATACATATACACCGTCCTCTTGAATAACTCTATCTAGTGAAAAAACCGCATTATTGCGTCGTATTAAAGATCTACATACATAGGTACAGACAAACAGGGGGACGACTTTGTTTTGCACTATGTAGTGATTAAACTGAGATGCTGGGTCGCTTTGGATTGTTTTACTCTTTTCACGTCTTTGTTCAAGTTATAAAGCTGATTTCTAGTTTCGCTCTACCAGAAACTATGACTTTTTTATACAATGAAATTTAGTGTTTTATACAATGATATTTGTTGGTGCGATATTTGTTGGGCAGACAGTTGGTATCTCTTACCCTAGTTCAACAGATAAAAAAATAATCAGCATCACCCTGCACAGTCAGTCCAAAGTGTACACTGGGTTGATGGCCACACCAATTCGCAGTGAACTTTCTTAGTTTTACGCTTGGACACACAAGCGCCCCCTATTCTAACCATCCGCCTAGTGATTTCTCCATCACGATGTTTCGGCAGGGACGAGCGGCGTCAAGCGCACCCTTCCCGAGCAGGACGTGTGCCCGCCGCCTAAGAAGCGTATGCGCATCCACGAGTCGATGTTCCTCCGGCGCGACTCGTTCATCGACACAGTGTTCGGGGGCGTGTTGCTCACGCGCGTCGAGTGCACCGTGTGCCACTCGTCCTCGCTCTCGCGCGACATCTTCCGCGACCTGCAGCTCGCCTTCCCCGAGAAGCCCGCCGGCTGGAAGCACAGCGTGCAGGATCTGCTCGAGTTCTACTTCTCCAAGGAGACCCTCACCGGCGACAACCGCTACGCGTGCGTCGACTGTGGCGCCCTCCGCGACGCCGAGCGCAGCGTCACCATCGAGAACCCGCCCAGATACCTCGTGCTCGTTTTGAAGAACTTCAAGTGAGTACTTGACGATATTATGGTATTTTCAGTCCGTTATAGCGCGACCGGTTTTTCCAACGCTATAATATTGGGTCTTTACCTTTAAGTTAAAGTATTTCTTTTTTCACACTATTTTATTTCTGTTAGTCAGTTGCGTCGATTGCATGGGTGATTGCTTACCCATGCAATCGACGCATCTTTGCCAAAGCAGTGATAGTTTATTGATGCCCTAAAAATTTCTTCACTTCTGTGTCGGCTTAGCAGCGAGAGGCGGGTAGGTTAAGTTCGAGGGCACTCGTCTATCAAGTTTTTTTTACCTTGCCACTTTGTCGCAAATGGACCAATATTGTTTTTTGCTAACAACAAAAGCCGCTGCTAACTCGGCTGTAGATTGAGTATCAGTAGCTTCCAAAATCGCCTCTACTTCATCTTTGTTTACCAGTGTACGGACGACCACGGGTTTCATTTTTCAAGTCAAAATTTACAGAACGGAACCGGGCAAATCTGTAACAGGTTGTGCTTTCGTACGTAAAGGTCTCTCCGTAAACGTTGCTGATTTTACGTATCGTTTATGCCGCGTTGGTGCCTCGAAGGAATTCATATTTTTAATTTACATGAATTTTTAAAGTATCCATTATAACGAAAAATGTTAAAATACAAAGAATATACAAAGCTAATCAATAAACAAAAGTGACTTTGTAAAAAGAATTTCATGTTTTTAAAACAAAATATATTTTGAATTTAGAATTTATAGCCAATCAAAACATTTTTTTTTGAGATGGCCAGTACTGAAGTAGGGAAATTTCATAGGTAAAGACCTAATATAATCGAAACTGCCGACTTGACTACGTCGGATCATACCGCTGTCTTCAGTCACTACATTGTCGTGTCAAATAAAAAGAATGGCGGTCATGTTTAGGTGACCTGTCTTAGAATTAGAAGTCTTAGTGGTGAAAAGTGTAGACATATGATGATAGTTAGAGAGTCTTAAAATATTTTAATCACTTGTAAAATGTCTAATGCACAATTTTTGTAACGATTTCCGCGAACAAGTAATTTTGCAGTAATAAATATATTAGAGCAATAACAATAAAACATTTAGTGTTGATATTGTCTATAGCAGGGGTGGCCAACTTGGTTAGACCCATGATCTACTGCTCACTGACGACACTCTGTGCGATCGACCAATTACATACTCGAAATCTTAAATAAACAGTACAGTACTCAATTATATAGTATTTTTTATTTTATTGAGAGGGAAAATATAAAACTGAGATTATTCGTAGTAACTACTTATTTATAATAGTGTGAGCATTGCGTTTGAGCATCTTTCGTTAGATTAGCAAAATCAGGTTTGTAGTTGGAAATTGCCTACTTCCAACTTGGAATCTAATGTTATTTCTGTTTGTTTTAAGTAGGAAAATGCCGACTCACACAAATATGTTGAACCAAAACACGAATGCTGTTGGTCAACACATTTCTTCAAATTTGGATATTTCTCGTTCGAAACCAATGCCCAGAATTCTAGACTTTCGGGATGACCTTGCTTTTAGAAATATGGCGCAGCTACTTTTGTACTACTTTCGTTTTGAAGTATTTTGAAAATTGAAGCAATTTGAAATTTTTTTGAATGTTGAAAAATGATACAAGATGATGCGTGCAACAGTTATTGATTATTAATTGTTATGATTGAGGTATGTTGCGCAGTCTGTTCTATGTATTCATATTTTTTGCCTTGCCACAATCGACTGGACTAATAGTGCCGATCGACCAGTCGATCGCGATCGATCGGTTGTCCACTCCTGGTCTATAGTCTATACTAACCTAAAGCACTGTTTAAGTGTTTATCTAACAGCAGATCTACATATATGAAAATCAAAGACCGATATGTACATATGTGTACATATATATATATATATATATATATATATATATATCATAGGTTTTCTTGCTTATCTGATCTATTAAACCAAAATGTTTGGTCCTAAATTATCCAAACGCACTGAAATCATGTTAATATTCCAAGAATTTGCACCGTCGGCTGTTGTGCTGCCATTCTTCGTTTGACAGTTTTGAATTCAAAGGGGAAAATCTATATGAGATTGATATTTTACAATTCCGTACGTAATAATTTTCAGGCATTTGTAGGCATTCGAAATAATAAGTCATCTCAAATCTAACATTAATTGACAAGTATGCAATAATATGAATTAATTGGTCAGTCGCTCCAAAACAAAATCGTTGACATAAATTTCCATCTGCACAGCCCACGTATTGTTACATATTTATTGTGTTAATAGAAAGTTTTGAATTTCATTATATTCATTATTCATTCAGCTGAGTATTTATTCATTCAGCTGTGTAATGTACATTATTTCAACAACATAGCTTTATTCTTATATAAGTACTATATACAATGCACGAATAAGCTATGAAGAGGACTATTATCGTCAATACTCATTCGCGATGATTGACGATGGTGTCTGACAAATCTGAATATACGACTACTTAATCATTGTATATTGTACTTAACGATAAATGTACTGATGCATGAAAAGGAACACTGGTTGGAAGAAGCGTAGAGGATCTCGCCAGTAAGTTCTTAAAATATTTATTATATCCAAAGTTACATTCTTACACCCATACAAACATTTGTGTGTCTATGCACACGATTACACGCATAAATACTTTGACACACACCACCATGCACATTGAACTACAAATAATTTAGTCGCTTTTGCCTAAAAAAAAACTTATTATAAATTTTCTGGCTTGTTACATAATCATTTTTATATTATAACTTTAATTTCGACACGCAACATTAGGAAATCATTCACTATTATGTGTTATTCTGTATAAGCGACGTTTACCTATCGATATCTCTGACTTTTCACCTCGAAACTGGTCTTATCCAATATTTTTTTTTAAACTTCACAAATTTTTCCTTTTATTAATAATATAAGTGTAAATGAGTGCTTTTGCGTTCCTTAATATTTTCAGAATTGTTAATCTTCCTTATCTTTTTTTAAATATATTTGGAGCACATGTCTCAGTTTAATACCGGTACTATATAATTATATAAGGTGATGAACGCGATAATTGTTTAAAATATTTCAGTATATCATATACAGAAGGCAATGTTGTATGCTAAATCTCGACTACAATCACATCTTAGTAAAACTATGAACCATTAAATGAAAAATAATAGTTTGTACATATTAAAAAATATAGTATATATTTTTGAAGAATTAAAACTGTTTGTCTTTCTTTTATTTTCAGTTATTATTAGATTCTTTAGTACATACATACACATATACAATACATACCAAAAATGTATATACAAAATTAATGTTGATTTGGTCGTTGTTAGTATTTGTGTTGCCATAACCCTAAAGCCTTAAACAATTTTTCTTTCGTCTGTTTGCAGCACTTGGCAGTTATATGTGTAAAAATGCATACGTTTAAACTGTTTCTTTTAACATAGATAGTACGTAATATATAGATAGTTGAAGACCTATCATTGGATATAATCATACCAGCATTTGCCTTGCTTAGTCATAATTATTTATTTCGGCTTATTTTAGTGTATTGGGCTTATTGTTATAATAACAATACACTTCGTAAGACTGTTGTGACTGTTACAATTGTAGTCGACGTTTATATCTTCAATATGTTTGACTCTCTTAAGCTAACTTACGTTTACAGAATGTTTATTATGATATTGATTTGCGTACCCAGCTGCATGTTGGTCCACCAATTGAGGCATCGCCTACCTTGTAACATCTCTGTGTATAATCCGCCTTTCCTGACAGATTCGAACCCAAGCTCCAGGTGCAGACGAAATTGATGCTTACCATGTTTTACAATGACACGGTGACCCTGCCCACCCGCTCGCGAACGGACCGCTCCGCCTATACTGTGTACGCTGCCATCATACACGAGGGTACCACCCTGGACTCGGGCCACTACTATACTCTGGCGAAGGACAACAACCAATGGTTTTCGTACAACGATGAAGTGGTCACCCCCGCCGAACCGGACCACCTGCACACCCTCAAGCGCTCCAGCACCCCCTACGTGCTATTCTACCGCCGCACCGACGTCGAAGAGGGCACCGTTCCGTCTCTGGGGCAGTTGCCGCCAAAGTTCCAGGAGAAGGTGATTGCCCACAACAAGCACTACATTGAGAGCGTTCGCAAGATGAAGATGTCCCGCCCATGACAATTAAGGTCCCAGAAGTTCATTGACTTCTCGGTGCTGGAGTACGCCGATCCAGAGTAGACGCCAAATTTTTCCCATGTTGATCCGATTCGATTACGCCCCGATGATTTCGATGTTATCTCTTAGCAACCATGGATTAACATGTTAAGGCAAATGTCTGTCTATACGTCAATAAATGTTCAATATTAACCTTCTTGAAATAAATATAACTTGGTGTTGTTTAATAAACTTTCATGTCAATGGATGATGTGTAACCATTAGGTTATATTCACTTATTATATTAAATTAACGTTAAATTAATGTGACATTGGTATTTTAAATAACCTTTTTCTTAGTTAGCTTTATCGTATAATTAATGTTAAGTTAGTGGTGTATGATCTCTATTCTGTTTTTAACTGAATCAACATCCTATATATTATTGCCAAACCTCGAAAGTTCAAATACAAAAGTTGGTGAACGAAGGTTTAATTTTTGTATATATATGAGTTTGACCTGAGTAGGTCAGTATATTGCATACAGATGTTATATTATTAAACCATTTTTTTTTTCTTTTGTAAATAACTGAATTACTTTATGATGACAATATTGTGCAGATTTAAATGATATCATTACTGGTTTGTAATGCTAGTGCAAAATTATTCAGGATATGTTGCTGGTAATATTTAATTTATAACAGTATGAGTAAAATACACATACATAAAGAAAAATAAATTCTTTTGTAATAACAAAATAGTCTGTTGAATATAAAGGAAATATTTTTCTTTTATGTGGAATATACAAATTATTTATTTAAGTTTACATATATGAGAGTTTACGAAATAGAGTACAGTAGCAATTTGATTACGCAGCCTCTGCTAGTTTGTACTTTTTACATTCGACTGTTATACTAAATAACAAATAATAAGCAAGTTACAATGATTTTTGAGTTCGGCATTGTGTTAATTTTAATTTTTTTTATTCTTTATTCTTTTTAACTGATGAATTGATCTATATCATATTAATTTCAAAGTAATGGTTTAATTAGTAATTATGCAGTTTTTGTTGTAAATTATTATCCACTTTATTATTAAGCTAAGTATAATGGTAAAGCTAGTATAAATGGCTTATAACAATATTACTAGGCGTCCTTGATTAACCGGGCCGACAACCCCCTCCCCCTTCCCCCTCCTTCAATCGAACACAAATATTAACCATATTGATGTGTAGAATATATTGTAATGTAACTTTGGATTTTTGATTTATGAAATATAATGAATGTGCGTACATGTCGTCGTTTCATTCACCTCACTTGCTGTTTTAAATAAATGCCTTTGATAACCTAAAACATTTTTTTTCATTCCAAAAACAATTTTATTAAACATATAATAGTAGACCTAAACATTCAACATATAATTACAGAAACGATTTCAAACTAATTAAGTACACTAATAATACTCAAGAAAAATTTACAACCTGGAATTTATTATTAAGGGTAAAATTGTACCTAGTATAGCGTTTTTTTTACAGCAAATAGGGAAGGGAGAGTAGAAAACCGTATACATATTTATACGCAGGCGTGGTTTTTCAACCCACTACAAAAAGAAGGGTCTCAATTCGACTGTATTTTTTTTGGTTACTCAAAATTTTCGCGACCGCCTTCAGCTGTCTGCCTTCAGTCGAAATATCCTCAAACCTCAACTTTGGGCGATTCATTGAGTGTAAAGCCAGGGCAGTTGCAAGGAAGTTAGGCGTCCTTGCAAAGGTTCCACGGTATTTCACACCGGGATAGCTTTTTACTCTATACAAAGCTCAAGACCGATTTTGTGTGGAGTATTGCTGCCATATCTGAGCCGGGACTGCAAAATGCCATGTATAAGTCTCGTTGGTAATCGTAAATTGGTTTAAACCAATCTCAAAAGCCTTGAGCACAGCTGCAGAGTAGCTAGCTAGCCTCTCGGTTTTCTACAGGAGGCATTTCGGAAAGTGTGCGTTGGAGTTGCACGATCGCATTCCTTCCGCCTGTTTCCATCATTAGACAATTAGGTATCCGTCGGGGCTGCACCTTATTCAACGTTCCACGCACAAGAACGTAGCGATTCGCTTCACATTTAGCATCCGTACTGCTATGCGCGCTTACCATCTGCGGCTGCATCGACACTTTGCTAGCATGTTTAGAGTTTAGAAAAAAATGGCGGCATGCGATCGGGTGGTTCACCTGATGAAATGATAACTGCCGACCAGTGCCCACTGACATTTGCAATACCCTTAGGGTTGCAAATTTCAGTGGGCGTTGACACCTTTTATTATTTGTTGATAGGCAATTCTGTTCTATGATCTCACCAGAAGACCGGTGTGAAGTGGAAGTTTCATACTTCTGCGTTTCCTCTGATGACTGAGGTAGCCGATGACCATTTTATTAAAAGGTGGCAAGGCATCTGCAACTCTACGGGTATTGCATATTAAACCGAGTTGATTTAAGTATTTACGATTTGACTTATACTGGTGGTAAAAAAATATGTATGTACTTATTTGCGCAAGTAAGAAGTTATACTAATTTAGCGTAACAAAAGTAAAATTACTTAAAATTTTATCCCCTGTACCAGTACTCTTTGTTTGTGAAAAAGGCAAATGGAATTGATAAAGGTTTAATTGAATAATTGTAATTATAGGCAAATGTCAAAAAGCTGTAGTCATAGCGTTGGAAGGCCATCGCAAGAGTCGCGGGCAACCAGTGGATGCAAATGGCAGTGTCGTTGGTTGGTTGGGTTTCAGTATATATATCTTATCTATGGTTGCGGCGTTCTAAGGAGGAGGCCTATGTTCAGCAGTGGACGTCTTGTGGGTGATGACTTTGATGTCAAAAAGTTATTATTGGTTGCCATTGTAACATGGTGAAGAGAGATGGATTTGCAGCCTCGGGGTTATATCCCCATTATTCGGGCGAGTCTCGAGCTGACAATGGTCAGTTGGTTGTGGGATAATGTCCAGGCCCAGCTGCAGCAGTGGTTTATGTGGGCAGGAGTGTCTATGATTAACGAAATGTTCCTGGGTTGTTTGAGCTACGTTGCTGCCACGACATATTCCATAATTATATATTATTAATTAAAAGACTGACTTTGTAAAAAGAATTTCTTGTTTTTAAAAGAAATTTAATTTGTATTTAGAATTCACAGCCAATCAAAACTTTTTTTTATTTGAATTGCCACCGTACTTAAGAACGGGAATTTCATAAGTAAATACATTATTTAAGGCGATACAAATTTGAATCGGAAATCTACTTTAATCGGGTTTATGGTCTGTATTTTAGTATTGTGAATTTGGTGAGGGTCCAGCCAGTGTCATATATCATGAAGAAAAATGTTACATTTCGGTACCGTAGCCACGAGATAATACACTAAATAACAATATATTGAACTAAATATTTTTATTAAAAGTAATAACAAATTTATCATTTGGTAACTTGTAAATATTAATTAATAAAATGTTATAAGCCAATCAGTTTGCCCCCAAAATTGTTTAATTTTTCTGTAGCCGCTCTTGTTATTGTTCTAAAAATTGTTCCCGGTACCTGGCAAAAAATTTGAGTATTGAAACAAAAAGTGGAGTAAGTACTTGTTAGGGGTGAATAATCAATGTTAAATCCACGGATTTGAATAATGTATTATTATATTGTAATATTGATTACCATTACGGTGGATTCCTGATTAATTTTCAAAGGTGTTTATAACCCTGGCAAAATTAATTACGACAATTATGAGACTGATAGATAAGTTAAATACAATAAAGGTGTGATCGTTTAATTCAACTCTGTTACAGTCTACGGCTTTTAACGAAGACCCAAAATGAAGTAAATATAGAAATTGGATCCTGAACACAATTATTAACTTAGAAGTAAATAAAAGTAAGTAAGTAGGTAGTAAGTTAATGAAAATATTAATGTAGAAGGGAAAATATAAACATACCTCTAGGATGGAATTAACCAAATTTGAAACTCCTTCTGCGCCACCAACAATAGCCCGGCCAGCACTATAGAACTTGTCTCCGTTGTTGCCATATTTTTCATGCTCTTGTATGGTGTCTACTATTGGTTTTGGCTGGTAAAAATGTGTTAGGAAAATGTAGTCTACATTGACAGCAATATAAAAATTTCATTGAATAGGTCATCAATAATGTTCATAGGATTTAGAGGTACCATTTATTTAGGCTTTGAGAGCGGTGCGGTGGAAGATTATTCTATTTTATTTTGTTAGGTTCCGTACCCAAAGGATAAAAGGGGACTCTATTACTAATACTCCGATGTCTGTCTGTCTGTCCGTCCCGTCGGTCTGTCACCGGGCTGCATCTCATGAACCGTTCAGAGAGGATGTATTTCTTCCGACTCGCACTTGAAGGGATTTTGAAAATTTATTAGCTTACGTGCCTGCTGGAATTAATAAGTCCGCTTTCATTAGCAAAGAACGTTTACAATGTACTCGTAGTAGTAATATTCGCTTCAACATTTTTAAATTTTGTACGGCCTATAGATATAGAAAGCAACTAAACCTCTTTTTACTTATTAAGTTCTCCGGATCTAAATGAGCGACAGCGCATTTTGCAGTTAATTTGAAAAACAGAAAAATATAACGGAATCTCATTCATTTCCTGATTCGAAATTCCTGGACTGCAGTTACCTGAAACAAGCCAGCGACAACATTCTGTACGTTTTCCTTGACTGAGAGTGTTTTGCTTCCTATCCCCTCCGTCTCCAGCAAAGCACCTTCGATACTAGTAACTGGAGCCGAAAACAAGCCACCTCCATAGTTCACCGAGCCGACCTACAATGAAATAACATTAAAAGTAAACTGAATTTTTAGACGAAGCTCAAATTTTGTTATAATTTATGTATAGTTTTTTTATAATTAATTGCGTTTAATTGTTGCATTTCGATAAGTATTTTTAAATTAGCATAGGATTGCTTCATAGTAAGTGAAGACAAAAATATGTTTGTTATTAATATTGCGAAGAATGTAAGTGAGAGTGTTTTGTATAAATACATGATAATTTAAACATAATCCGGGCTCAACACGCAAATAATTAAAACTTTAATAGTAGGCCAATATTAAAATATCAATATAAATTATGATTAAAAAGAGGGATTACCGGAGGATAGCTGGAAAATTTCTTAGATAATAGGTTATCAACGATTGATTTCTCCTTATTAAGATTTACTTCAGGGTGGTTCTCCGTCTCCAATGGCTGAGCTAGTACAACATTTGGAGATGATTGAGGCTGGTCGTATACAGGCAAATCAACACGTACTGGTTCATCTCCTGGCGCCGATGAGGCTCCGTATACAAAAACCAAGAGAAGATATAATGACGTCATTCTGGAAAGATAGATCAGTACAAGTAAATTAATAAATACGACCTTAATGCAAATTTATGTAATAGCATTTTTGGGTGGTAACTACACCTTTAACGATAAACTACAATCTAAACGAAATATTTATAGGATAGCCAAAATAAGACTCGAAGATATTTTACGCATTTTGAAATCAATTCGAAAGTTTTTCATAAGTTTCTTTGACCCTCTTTTTCAATAAATTAATAAAGTTATAAAGAAAACAAATTTTGTATATTATATAGTTATGTTATATACTTGTTATATCTATTAAATATATGTCTCATATCAATTAAAAATGTTGAGAATCCAATGAGGGTAAAAAAGTGTGTGTGTACTTATTATGTACACGTGTTAGAAGTTATACTTTGGCGCAACAAGATAAAAATCTTTTCAAAAATTTTATCTTTCGCCTTGCTCTACTCTACGGTTGTAGAAAAAACGACACTATCAATAGAAAAAAGGTTTTTAATAGATTGAAAGTTTTACTTTAACGCATTATCTAGTTAAATAAAGTTTATTTAAATATCACGAAATAAATATCGTAAATACAGTTGTCAGTTATAAATATCGTGAAAACAGTTGTCAGTTCTCACGCAACTTACGTCTAGCTAACTTTAGGGTGTCGGTTTTTCATCGTAAAAATTTACTCTCATAACTTTTCCCTAACGCATCAAAAGAGGTATAAGTTCAATAAATACAATTCAAAATCATTGTAGGTATTTTCATTTCTGTTTGTCGACCTTGCAATGGTTTTATATAAAACAACGACGTGGGACTTTCATGGTCGCGCATTATGATTTTTGCGAACAAAACATTAGTCGATATTTTGTTATTATGTTTAGTAATTATTGCAGTGAACATTAGGGCTCACAACAAATTGTGAAATATTACATTCACGGAACCTATTGTAATATTACGCATTTACTTACATTTTAATGACGACCCGAATGGTGTAGTGGGTAGTGTACCTGCCTCCTGCGCTAGAGGTTGTGCGTTCGATCCCCACTACTGGAAATATATTGTGTGATGAATATAGTGTTTTTCTAATGTGTAGACACCAGTTATCTTGTACCCATAGTACTAGCGTTGCTTCGTTTTGGACAAGAGAACTTTGTGTAAAAATGTGTCCTAAAAATGTATTATTTATTATTATTATTAATTCTAATACTGGAAATTTGATGATGAAGACCCAGTACAGTAGGACTCTAGTAAATCAGTTCATTAGAGCCCTGCTTTCTCGTGTTAAGTGATTTATCTTATATTTATATTACGGTGGTAGAGCCACGCAGCGGCCTCGGCTGTTGCACGAATGAGCAGGCTCGTCCGGGTAAGTATCACGACCTCACAGAAGACCTTTTGGTCTGGTGAGTGAGGTAGCTAGAGCCCAATTTCCAATAAGATTGTAAAAGCATCTGCAAACCCTTGGGTGTGGCAGATGTCTATGGGTGGCGGTATTCACTTAACATCAGATGAACCTTCTGCTCTTTTTTCAACTTTTCACATAAAAAAAAGAAGGAGAATATGGATGGAAAGAATTTGAACTTGTTGATATAATCTGGCTGCATTGCATAAAGTATTTTTTCAATAGACCGTGGAAAAAGTATGTAATGATGCAGAATGCTTTGTTTATTACGGCAAAATAATACATAATTTTATTGTGGATATTATCTGTAACGTTTCTTGTTAAAATAGGTCACACATGTGGTGTCTTAATTTGACATATTAAAGGCCATATTTGACATATTAAACGTAGGGATTACATTCTCTTTGTTAAAGGCTTTCAAATTATTAACAAGACATTATAAATGTAATATATACCTTTGAAGATGTTAAATCTTCAAAATTTACTATGGATTGTTTGTATATGGTTGAAGTCCAGAGCTTCTGCGGATGCATAAATTTACAGCTTGGTACAATGTTTATATCCCTATTGGCAGCAGGATCAGGTGGGATAGGTGTGGCTGCATTTATTATTTATGGACTTGCAGAACAGAGTATTTTATCAAGTTTCTTACCTAAAGGTGTTAATGACGCTTTAAGAAGAACTATTATACTTACATTTGGGTTAACTACATCTTTATTAACACTCGCCGGGTGCATCCTTCTTTTGGGCACGATAAAAAAGGGATATAAATTAATAACATTTGGTGTATTTTTATTGTTGCTTATGTGCTGCTTGGTCATAATCGCAGTGATCAGTGCCCCCATAACATGTTTCTTTTTAATTAATTCATGCATAATAAGAAATATTTCAATACCCGTCTTATTTTTTTGTTTACTTTTTGTTACTATATTTCTACAAATTTGGGTTTATTTTAGCGTAATTGTGTACGTGTATATGGCAAATAAATTTATTTATGAAGACGGGGATGAATGTTTGTAATCTAAAGCAAAATTTGTGAGGGACAATTTTTTTAAATTTAAAAATAATAATAAAATAAACCCCCGAAGACGTACGCAGAATGTATTTTAATTAAATATATTTAATTTAATTCATTAAATGTATTTAAAATGCAGATCTTGATAAGAATATGAATAAAATTAATTTAGTTTTGAAAAATTGATACATTTGTTTAATATACATCACGCCCATTATTCTACCATTCAGTATTATTAAAATAGAGTTTACTATTATTAAAATTGAACAATGACTCTAATTATTATTATATAAAAAGCTTTTTCAAGGTACTTAAGAAAGCTTTGGTGGTTTATATATTTGTGATTTGATCAAATACATCGACACCGTTATCAACAGCCCTATAGGTACTTATTATTATTTGTGATAGATGTGACGTAATGCACAGGATTAATTATGTCACTTGAATGCATTCATATTAAAGACGTGAATACAAATGGCGCGTATAAGTGCTTTGACTTGCCTAAACCGTTGACTTCAATATAAATTATTCCTTAGATTACACTGTTACAGTTAACTGTAACAGTGTATCTAAGGAATAATTTATATTTAATTTTTAGCATTAATTTTAACCCCCATCCTATATATATTTATTGATAACTAATCGCTTGCAATGATCCTGCGATTATCGTACTTTTATGTAAAAATTGCTTTGTGTTTCCGGTTATCAATACACTTGAAAAAGAATGCAGTATTTTACTATAACAGTAGGGATTTTTAATTATGTATTGTAATTAAATTATTTACTAAGACCATTTAATTATTACGAAAAACAATAACTGTCAAGAACAACAGTGGCCTATATAATTATTGTGTAGATCGATCTGAACTATATAAAAGTAAATTAAAAGATTACCTGAGGTTTTCATCAACGTTAAAGCGAGAATAACGCTTTAATAAATCTCCGTGAACTTTATCTTCATTAAATCGGTATAAATATTGAAAAAAAAAACACTTCTTATTAAAAAAGTAATAGCGTATTAAAAACAACCAGTGTAACTATTAGCTGATATAGTTAACTCCACTTCGTCAGCCCGCGGACTAATAATGAACGCGTTGTGTTCGGCGGCCAGACCACCATGTCATTGCAACTTTCACAACTTACGTCACACAGCCTTGTCGGTTGCGAAGGTACGATGAGCTCCATTCCAACACGTTGCATATTAAGCTTAAATAATAGCTCAACAGACACTAAATGAGAAAGCATTTTCGTATTTGGTTTAGGAAGTTTTTTTTGAGAAATGGTGGATAACATTGGTCAATCAATTATTACACGAGTTGTTCGTGTCATCAAAATGTTTAAAATTTGTCGACTGTAAGTTGTTATTTTGTGGTATTTATGGGTGCCTGTAGGCGTATCAATGAACACACTCTTGGCGGTATTTACTATTCTCCATTTGCGGAAACAACATCAAAGCGGTCGGCGGCGCTTCGGAGGCGAGTAGTGAATTGATTGATGTTTATATCTGAATAATAGCGCCGTGTCCTCCGCGAAAACCGCGAGATTGTTATGCGGGTATTTTTGGTGTTCACGCGACGGCGTACATTGCTTCTCTAGGTTGTCTGCAAGGCATTTGGCTTATTCGGAGTCATCTAGGGCTAGTGAAATGCTATCAGGGATAACTAATGGCGGTAGGAATTCACGTGGCTCAGCCTTCATACTTCGGGCAAACCACCAGGCGGTGTGCGACGGCTCGAGGTCTTCCATCGTATGTGGTTTAGCGGTGTTCCGATACGCGATTTTAGACTTCAAGCTGAAGACGTTGAAGTCGAGTTCGGTTCGCTCCTGATCGGTATCGGTCAAATGCCCGTTTTGCTGCATTTTTCTGCCTAATTAGGAGCCGTAGGTCGGCCGTTGGTCGCCCGACAATTTTACTAATCGTTTCGATTCTGCGACTGCGGTAGTAATGCTGTTTCGTAGACTTGCTATTGCTCGATTTGCGCCACCGAACGTAGATATCGTCTCAGCTAGGTTGACGATGTGGCGGGGGTCCAAGGCCTTGAGTTTGACCTCAAGACGATGCCAGTCCACTACGGTTTGGTCGAAAGGACATCGCCGACTAATTCATGGGTTGTTTCTATCGACTGTATGTAGAGCGAAACCTTTAGTAACATTACGTCTAAAATGCTCGGTATTACTTGTAATATCTAGTGGGAGTCGCAGGAGCGGTTATGCAAAAATTTAGGTTTTATGAGAGCCCCACATAAAATGTTTTTATTCTGATTTTTTATAGCGTATATATTATAGTTTGTTATAGCGGCCATAGAAATACATCATCTGCGAAAATTTCAACTGCCTAACTATTACGGTTCATGAGATACGGACTGGTGACACACGGACAGACAGCTCGGCATCGGTCTTTTTGTTTGAACTCTCTAATCTCAGCGAATATTTGTTCGATTAGAAAAAAATCTTGCACTGTTAGATAGCCCATTTATTGAAGAAGGCTACGTTTTAATGAAAAATATTTTCATTACAGCAAAAAATAAAATTGTTATGACAGATAAAAATAAAAAAAATCAAAGTATTTTGCTGACGACGGATTGAACCACTCAGTAGAAATATGATTTCCATTAGTTTCCTCGCTAGGCAAGCCTGTATTGAGGAAACCGAGATACGAAATGACATAATTATTCCTATATAATGGTCAGATTAGAATTACAAATTATACAAATTTAAAATTACTGTTACAAAATTACTAATTACTACTACAAATTAAAAATCAAGAAACTTATATCTAAACTGGACTAACAATAACAAGCTTAATTATTTTGCATTAATTTCAATATGTTATGTATACAACGTGTCTTTACCACCGCGACAATAAATGAACACACGTCTAACGCTATGTGCCAATAATCATAAAAAATATTAACGTTAAAAAATCCATAATTAAAAAAATATTTTTCAAACAAAGTAATTAAGTAAAAAAGAAACAAAATTTGTATCAATCCTATACAATTACAACTGACTGATTCATACATTCAGAGATTTTTTCATTCGTTGCCACAGCGCCGCATTACAAGCCTCTCTTTACAGTATGTTTTGTCTCCTTTAAATTCATTCAACCCATTCATATGCTTTGTGACCTTTACAAATTAACTTTACATTAAAGTTTTATACGTAAGGGTGTTCTAAAATTGTTTGTTTTGGAAAATTTGATAACTCGTTAAATATTGTAAATCTTTAATACAATTTTAAAAAGTTATCCTCTATATGTGTGCTCATTTATTGTGCCGATGGTAAAGACACGCTGTATAATATATATTTTATAAATATATATCCGTTATTACTTCTCAAATTTTAACAGAACATCGGAAAATTCTTAAAATTCTTAATTCTTCAAACTGAGTCCGCACGTTAACTGTCAACTGAAAGTTTCAGTGTGTTTTTGAGATCGGATATAAGAACGCTTCTGTGAGGCATTTATTTCTTCGCTTAAGGTAGTCTCTTGAGTAATGACAGGAAGGGTTTCGAAAATCTCCAGACAAAACAACCGTAACGTTCATTGGCCTTTCATCTTGGTGTACGTACTCTAGTGTTCTGTCAACGGCCTCTACGGGCGCTCAATCAAAATTCACTCTCAGTTTACTTTTTTACTTTAATGTCTATAACCTATAACTGACTCCAATGTGCAAAATAATGAATGGCGTTCCCAATCGGCACTAAGTCGTGTTTGACTTTCGTCATTAGATTCTTGAGATCCAATCGTTCTCTTTCTTTTTATTCCATTGAGGCATTTTTGTAATAAATTGTCGCTTAAAGCTAAAAAGTCGATACCTAGTCTAATAATATTTTTTCTAAACAATAAGTATTTTAAGAACAAAAAAATATCAGCTACAATTTGTGAACCAGTGACAAATAAAAAACACAATTTCCGAATCACAAAGCAAAATCAGTAATATCCGCATATCCTTTTTTTTTAACGATGGGATATGCATCATGCATACTCTCCTGCGGGGGAAGCAAGAAGAGTTATGTTGGACTCCCACCCTGAAAAGGGCAGACCTACCAACTAAAACCGATCGGGCGTCCTCCTATGCCGTCAAATGCTGAGTTGCAGGACCCGCTAAAGCGATTCTGCTGCAACCCAGCCACGGCTACCCCGACCCTATAGGGCCGGGGCACACCACGAAAAGACTTTTGTCCCTGTCCTCCGCATGAGTGCTCATGACACCAGTGGGCACATTGGCTTCGCGGGGACTCATACCGTTAGGTGACAGACATCCCCACGTCTGTCACCCCGAGGCCCAATAGGGCGGGAGACGGCGCTCGTGTGCCGCCCGCCTTCTCCCCATGCGACGTCGCCGGATCGGGTCGGAAGAAGCATCCTCCTCCCTCTCCCTTTCGGCGGCCTCCTTCTGTGAGATGACTGTCTCGTAGAAGGTGGCCATCGCCTCCCACGCCGCCCTGCTGTCAACCATTGCTCTAACGATGGCCGGCAGCGAGAGATCCGACCCGACGACGTCACGGAGCCGCCCTCGCGGCTCCTCCCACGCCGGGCATTCCATCACCGTGTGCTGCGCCGTATCGTCGGCGCAGGTACAATGGTGGCACCCTTGGCTCGGTTCCCTCCCGATAGCGTGCAGGTAATGACCGAAGCATCCATGACCAGTCATCACCTGCACCATCCGAAATGACAAACTTCCATTTCGGGAACCGATCCAGAACAGGCCTGATGGCCTTTGCCACTCTATGTCCGGCGGTGGGAGCCGCCAAACGTTCCTGCCAGGTGCGCATCAAAATGAAGCGCGCCTGGCGTCGCCATCTTGCGATACGTTCGGTGGAAACGTTAACGCCGCACCCCTTCGCCTCAGCGACTCGGCGATAGACCTCCGCGAGGACTTTAGCCTCTAAGAATATCCGCATATCCTAGTCTAACCAAATCAACTTTTTATCTATCTTATCCTTTAAAAGAGCAATTCTTATATGTATATATATATATATATATATATATATATATATATATATATATATATATATATATATATATATATATATATATATATATATATATATATATATATATAAATCGGAATCTCGGAAACGGCTCCAGCGATTTTCATGAAATTTACAAAATTGCTTCTTTTTTTTGTCGATCCAGATGATTTTGTTAGTTTTTCCCTTTTTTTTAATGTTCTTTCTTTTGTGAAAAAACACCAGTACATATTTTCGAATAAATAATAAATAATCGAAAATATTCATATTTCATTACTCGGTAATTTGTATCTAAATGTAATTTCCAAAATACACGATTTACCAAAAAAAACCAAGTAAAGCTCGGTCCTCCAGGTACTACTACTTATCAGGCCCGCTTAATTTATTATAATTTTTAAGGAATATCTCCTACGCGCGAGACGAAAGGCGAGCGTAGCCTTGCTCAAAAAACCTACTAATTTGCAGTCCCCTACATTTGGCCCGGCATCAAAATGGCAAATCAAAATCAAGAGCATACTCAACAGAGAGACAACTCACAAAATATTTATAAAAATTATAGCCTTTGTGTTATTTTGATGTGTAAGCTACATTATCATAAAGTTTCGTTAAAATCCTTTCAGTAGTATTTGCGTCAAAGAGTAAAAAACATCCATCCATACATACAAACTTTCGCGTTTATAATATTAGTAAGGATACTGTAGGTAGGCATATGTCAAACAGAAAGTAACCAAATTACCGTAATTTCGGTAACTGCAGTTTAATTTACATTTTGATGCAGAAATCAATTGAAGTTTTTTGTTAATTCGTATTAGTGTAATGACAAGTATTTACAATTACCTACTACTAGTTAAATTAATACTTGACAAATGTAAGCTTAATGACTACATACTAATGACCACATTCGACATTACATTTATATTTACAATTTAT